TTTTAGTTTGTATTTAATTGTAATTAATTATTTGCATGCAATCAATAATGCCAAAGAAGTATAACTTCTTAGCGTACATAAGTCCCTTTATAATGTTTGAGATTGCAGGCAATTTAAGCAACTTTGAACCACGACACAATAATTTATTAATAATAAATTATTTATCTGAAAGCGGCACTTATACCTAGATGAATTACAAAGAACTGCAAATTAAAATATTCAATTATTTAATATTATGATTATTGTTAAATCGATATGGTCTGAATATCCACAGTTGCTCCTACTTTGAAATCAATTTTGCTTTAGTTTTTATAATTTATGAATCGATGTATTTTTTCTCTTCGTATTTCTTTACGTACCAATGTATCAGTGCCGAAAGTAGGAAAGTTTTTGTTAATAGACAATTATATTAGATATTTTTTTATTGTCCGTTGAGTGAACTGACAAAAGATCTATTTATTAGTGCCTATAGTAGTTAATTTTGTATTATGTAATTTTAGCTTGTTTTTCTTATTAATTTCTTATGTTTGTTTCGTGAGTGATTTAAGATAACATGACGGGATAGTGTTTTTTGTAAATAAAATATTGCAGATAAACTGGTTGAACGCATATAACAAGAGGATACGTGAGACAGTCGGTCCAGAGTTAACAGCCCAAGGATTGACTGACGTTTACTACTGGGTAATGAATAAAACCATCGAAATAGAACTGCCATCGAAGAACAAGAAAGCGTCAAACTCTGCAATTATTCATAATGCAACGGCACTATTAATTTGTATATTTGTTGTAAATGCTATTTAAATAGACTAGAAATAATTAGATAATTAATTTTACTTGTATTTGTGTATTAATATATTGTATACTATCACTTAATTGCACCTAACGTACAATTATATGTTCAAATATAAAGGGTGTCTCAACGCCGATGTTAAACTTTAAATATCTATAAAAAACAAATATTATTTGTAATAATATTATCATTGCAATAAATTATAATGCATTAGTGCGAATGATTACACTGTCAAGATGTCTTCCACGGTGAATGCACTCTTCTAAGAGGACTAGCGAATTGGCAGAGATACACCGCAGGCCGCAGGACGTATATAATTTCTGAGTGCAGCACTAGTAAGCTGACTCAAAAATTTAAAAAAATAACAAATTTAACTAGAAGAACCTATTTCATACATACACCTTCCAGAAAAGCGTAAATATCCAGAAGACTACTCACCCGATTTTGTTGTAACATAGCCTGTTCCCTAAGTTGATATAAACTTATATAAACCAAATTATCACAATTTCGGTTTTCAATAAATTTGTAGACAAACATCCAACTCAAACATTACAATACAATATATAGGAAGCCTCCTTGAAGTCGGTTAGAAATTAAAATAGATGTAGGTCAAAGCAATCTTACTCGAGAATACGAAATTATATAACATAAAGTAGTATTATTAACTTATTAGAAATGTGTATACACAATACGAAAAGGCTTAAAAGTCATTTTGCAATAATTAGGTAGTTGCACGGTTTTATAAACATATTCTAAAGTAGGAATATTTGTAGGAAAAATACGATTTGTTTAAATTATAATATTTTAGCCAAATTTCCCAATACCGTATTTTTATAACTTATTGCGTTTATACATCATTAATAATATTATTATTATTTTCAATCATTATATGGGTTAAAATATTAGCTATTAATAGCGCTTAATATAATTTAATTCAGAGTAAATAATGTTATACGTTTTATTTTAAAATAATAGAATATAGAATATTATATGTATTTAAATAATAATTATCTAGATGTAAGAAATGGTTTTTCACCGAGTGCCTTATTAAAGTAGTTTGTGTACATGTTATAGAAATCGTTGTGCCTTAAGTGTGATCTATAGCGGATGCAACCGCCTTTTTTTAAATTTTAATGGAAATTATTGATCGGATGCCCAGACAGAATGCAAATCTCCCCATCCCGACGTCTGAGGTTCCACGATAGAACGCTTTTTAAGAAACTTCTTTCCACCACCACCTCTTACGACGTTACGACTTAGGAGCCTTCAAGAGAAAGCGTACCACTAACTTAAAATCCGGCACTTGCATTTGCACCTCTTGGTGTTGTAAGTGGGCGGCGTACACACTTTTAGCCCATAATTAAAGAATAATAAGCCGTGATAGTTTAAAAAATATTTTTAACACTGTTATATAGGCCTCATACCGCGGTCTTATTAAGTGGCAGCTAGGTGAGGGGTACCGGGTTCGATTCCGGTTCGAGGGCAAGTTTTAATTTAATTTAAATTTGTTCTCGGCTTGTGGTACGTCAGTGCTTAGCCGTCAGGGGACACGGTCGAATTTCTAAAACAAACGAATTATAAAAATACTATACTTAATGGCTAATGAAAAGACACCTATAAAAGGAACAATGTATATTAGGTTTCATATTGATAAATGTTTCTTTTTAAGCCTGATTTAGCATTAGGCTTAGATTATCTTCGACAAGAACGTTTAAGTTTTAAAAGCAATATCGTATATTGGTAAAGTTTGAGTATATTAAAAACGCATCGTTTTTTATAATTGAATTAAGTGTTTGTGCTATCATACTGCGTGACTTATGAAACATATCACATATTATAGATTCAATAACAATTCGAAACTTCAGGTGAGATTAAGAACTAAGCATACCTTCATAATCCTTGGGAGTCACACTTATCGCTAAGTCTTTGATTCTTAGTTCTTACTATATTGTTATCTAATATGTATATATAATTCTCGTGTCGCTGTGTTTGTGGTTAAACTCCTCCGAAACGGCTCGACCGATTCTCATGAAATTTTGTGTGCATATTGGGTATGTCTGAGAATCGGACAACATCTATTTTTCATCCCCCTACATGTAAAGGGTTACCCCTATTTTTTAATTTTTTTATGAACAGATTAAAAATACAAAAACCTATCTTTTTTTATTATAAATGATATATGTACAAGTTGGCAAAACGACGTTTGCCGGATCAGCTAGTTACATATAAAATTGCGGATTAAATCTTTATAAAGCACGTAAATAAATACTTATAATTTAAACACTAAACGAAGCCTAAAACTAGAATGATTCGTACCTATTAGGTTGATCTCCTCTAGGTGTTTGGAACAAATTATACCTTTAGGATGGAATCAATCAATATTTCGAATGTATTTTCCATTGTTGTTTAAATTTCCCTTAGCCTTAAAGTGCGGTGGCCCATCAGCTGATTATCAAGTATTTTACCTACCTTCAAACTTTTCATTCTCATGCTTCTCACGCGATTAGTAACGTCTAGTTTCTGCACTCCTAGTAACTCATTCGACTCTTGGGGTTAATTCAGAGTCGAGACTTCCGTATGACTCCAGTTTTTGGACACACGAGATTCCTGATGCCATGACTCACAGACGCTGCTAAGCATGACTGACGACTCCCATGCCTCAGCTTGACATCAGACGTCTCGATGGTTATGGTCAGACAGAGGCCTCGACGCTGAGTTACGTACTTCGTATATTTAGTAAATTTTTGTCAAATGTTAGAAATTAAACGTTGGCATCAAATTATTAGCTGTCACGGATATAAACGTGATAGATTGCGAACATTATTTTTCAACTTGACACATTTCAAAATAGTACATTAGTTCCGCTGTCTCAATAAACGCTGAAAAGCAGTCGATGTTGTAAATTCACACTTAAGTCCGTTAGAAAAGTTTTAATATTGTTTCTGTTGCACGTAAGTCGACGACTGTATCTAACCAATATGTCAGGAACTAATATAGTGGAGTTGGTCACAATAAAACAATTCATAATTAAATGCTTTTTATTTACATTGGTCCAGCAACATCTTGTATTTAATTAAATACATATAAAAATCTTCTAAGGCATACAGACAGCCAATTACAACAAATTAAAGTTCCCCTAATGGGACATGGGGCAGAAATTTCTGCTTAATTGATCATTTAAAATAATCGGCCTAGAGCCAGCCTTGGGTGTCGATCCCCGTACCTTAAACGCTGTGCGCTAATAGTCTCTGTCTAACAGTTGCTTAAAATAACTCCATATCGTGGTAAAAACACATTTAAATTGGCTATTTTAGTTTTTAACCTATAAATAAATAGTTAAAAATAACAGGTGTAAATCAAAATTACTTTTTCATACATACAAAATTAAAATTAACAAACATTCTAATACATAATAAATAGTTCTATAACTAACAGATAAATTATTCAAGCTCAAAATATGTTTTAAAGCACCCAATACCGAATAAATTTTAACTTCACAAAAAACATCGAATTTTAATGAAAAAATTATACGTATTTTCTTATCAAATATGAACAATCAAAGTATTTTTGTATCAAGTTATAAACAATCATGAAGTATTTTTGTATTATACTTTCTATACTAATAGAAACATGTCTTCTTTTCAAAGTTGTCATAATTTCTTGCAAAAAGTGTTTGACATGTGTTGAGTTTATATAAATTAAAAAAATAAATAAAACAATAGGTTAAGCTACATTATCCAATCTAGAAGATATTCTCTTGTACTTTTTTTAAATATAACTTAAGACAAAATATCATTACACATTTACAACAGTTTTAAAAGATTGAATTATTTGTATATATTGTTTTTTAATTTCAATTTAAATTAAACTAATTTCATTTAAAAACGGTCACGAGTTGATTTAAATGTCATTGCTGTGACAGCGCCATCTATATCTGACGTTCACAAAACGTTAAATTAAAAACGGTTTACATCTTATGAAACAGCTTTTTAAGTTTCATAGAAAAACACTTTTTCCTTTAAGGTTCAGAAATAAGATATAACCGCTAAATTTTCTTGCCAGCGCAACAAAAAGCAACCGGGTTTAACGGTGAAACTTTTGCGGTTAACGCAAAGTGGCTGTATACCCAAAAATTAAGCAATAATTATATTAAATCCATATTGTTATCAGTGTATTTCGTGCATTGTGATTATATTGTTTTTTTTTTAATTCATCTCCGTAAATCGACCATTTCCACAGACGACGCGTTATCTAGCTTAATATGTGATACATTCTGTAATCAAAAATTTAAATTTAATTAAAACCAATAACTTTTACAGGTCCCACATTCTATTATAGATTTCTTAACAAAATTACATCGTATACAATTTATATCCACCAAGAATCGAATGAATCTGAAATATATATCCAAATTTCTGTCTGGGAATATATACCGGATTTTTCAATTAAACCAGGATATTAATAATTTATATTTGTGGGTGTGATTGAGACCAAGAAAATAATGCCACTCTTAATTAAATAAGACAATTTATAAAAATTTGGTACAACTTTGTAATTAAAAGAAAAACAAAATTAGTTATCATAAACCTTAGGCTAACTGGAAGAAGCTGCTTTTATGGTAGGGGAGCCCACGATGCTAAATGGGGATTTATGAGCGTCGTAGAGACCTATTGGGATGCAAAGCTTAGATAATAAGAAGAAAAAATGTTATATGATAAATTCCTTTTATGGTGGGGAAGCGGCTAAGATAGTTAAATATGTAAAAAAACTGTTAGGACATCTGAGGTCAGAATTGAAGCCTGCCCGATTTTTAATAAGTACGTATGTTAATCTATCGAGGGGGGTGATTAAGGGTTGAAAATGAAAAAAATAATTTTATCGACGCGTCAGATTTTTAAGGGAGTGTTAGTGCACCAAAAAAAGCTCTCATTCACTAATCTGAATTTGATGGGACGCAAACAGCCATTATAATTTGCAAAAAAATCGCAATTTGAAATACTCAAGGGTCAGATTAAGAATATGTGGTTCTTTATTCTAAACGTACTGTCCATAATTGACAATTATTAAGGATTGCCTGATCTGACAAAAAAATTAGAAAAACGTTCATCCATGCATCCGCACTTCCGCTAATTCCATTCGGGCTTAAAATAATTTTGAGTTGAGTTCAAAGAAAAAATTCAAGAGCTCACTCGAAATATAGAAGTTAAGACACTATTTTGGAATTTTCAAACCGATAACATTTGAATGATCAAGCATTTTAGGCAGTTTTATCTCCTAAGTAATTTGCAATTTTAATATGACAAAATGGTTCCAATAAACACTTTTCGGGTTTCTTTTTCACATATCTTGATCGCACGGATGGTTAGGGGATAATGAAGATAAAGACACTTTAAAAAAATATTTTTAATTTTTAAGATTTTTCAAAATTTCTAAAATCTATCTTTATGGTTCAAATTAAGGAAATGTAATTTAGGAAATATTTAGAACGCGTTTAGTAGATTAGGTAAGGAAAGTAGGATGGTGAGCATACTGAATTGTATTTGGGAAATTAGAATATATTTTTCATTATTTGAATTATTTCCTTCAAAATAAAAAAATAGCTATCGAGAAGAGACAGGCCTCCTTTTTTCCGTCCTCCAAATAGGGAATATAATTTAGGAGAATTAACTACCCTACCTTAATGGTGGGAATTTATGGTCTTTACTATTATTTCTTAGGGGCTTATATATGGCTGGAGGTATAAAGTTTTATATTATGTAGTTGGTATAGCAGAAAGACCGGCCCGGATGGAAATATCCTTTGTCTTCATTTATTTAATTATATTTTTCGCCTGTTTTTTGTTATTCTGATACACAGAAATTAATGTGTAAATATAGTGTTGTTATTATTACACTCTACACATATAAAGAGGAATGATTTGATTTTTGTTCGTAATGGATAAACTCCAAAATTTATTTTAAAAATTATTTCACCTATATAGCTATGTTACTAGTAATATATCAACAGGAGTGGAGTATCAATGGAAAATGAAAAAAACGGGAACAATTATTTCCTCTCAGTTTGAGGGTGCTTATTCGAGATCGAACTCAGTATTAAGACGATTTGAGACATTTTTAAAATAGTCCATTTATTGCAATTTTAGCCTAATAGCTTGAACGTACACCCCTCCACTCTACGATAGTGCGTTTGCATTACAGAAGACTAAAATACTCACTCGTATGTTAAAGAAAAACATAGAGGAAACCGGCGTGTCTCACTCAAAAATCCGCCCGGTTGATTAGAAAATACCACGAAACAGGTATGGAAACCTTAGGTCCAGACCTAAAAGATTTTCATTTATTGAGCTTTTAACTTACATAAAAGAGGGGTGGATCATTCGAATGTGGATGAAAGCCCGTCTGTCTGCAATTAGCGATATACTTCATTCCGTGATCCGGCGTCAACGCGAAATATCCAGTCCTGAAATTCACAAATTATCTTTAGTGAGTCAGATTTCCTCTGAACATGGACCAACTGCTGACACTCAAACTCAAAATAACTTTATAGGTAACCCAGTCCACTTTTGAACATCAACAGAAAAGATGTTAAATTGATTCTAAATTTACATTTACTACCAGTTCGCAAGTCAAGGGCGTAGAGCGGGCAAGAAGAACTGGTAAGAAACTCTCCGCCACTCTTTTTAATCGCCAAGTTTTGAGTCATACAAATTATTTGAACAGGAGCAAATCAATCCCAAGGATTGGAATCATTTAAATTATCGTCAATTTTATAAAAAACTTTATTAATAAATTTACGTTTAACGAGTTTTGAATTTATTCAAAAACTTGGCGATTAAAATTTTGAGTTTGAGTTTGTATTTATTTTACATACTCGTTATATTTAGGTGCGCAGACTATCGCGATGGCTTCAGACATCATCAGCTGATATGAACACTGAGTGTGAAGGTCCACTGACGAGAGAAACGCCGTTTGAGTTGGGTGTGTCTGTAAATAAAGGTAATTATAATCAGTTAATTCGTGACCAGTGTGTGTTAAAAGTAGACGAACTGACAAGGATGGATACGAAAGGGAATGCTTAAAATAAAAATAAAATAAAATATGTTTATTATGGAACATAAGATACAGGTATTACTTATTCCAAGTCATAAAATTTGATTCTGTAGGCATCCCTACTCATCGGCAAAGAAGACAGAGGGTGTAGGCCGAGAGAAAAAGCCGGCGTAAAAAACTCTCGGTACTCTTTTAAAATAGCAAATCATCAAACAACACTTATTTTAAAACAAATATCGCAAATTAATTAGAAGTAGCCTGTCTAGCGCTAGTCCCAGGCCCTTTTATCAACTAGATTATCGTTAACTTTATAGTAAGCCTTTCTACACAGCTTTTCTTTAATACATTTCTTAAATTTATTAAAAGGCAAAGATAAAAGAGCCTCTGGGATTTTATGAAAGAAGTGAAGAAGCTTAGGTGGTTAGGCAACCGTCTAGTTGGGTAGGCCATGTCGGACCAAACCCAGAGGGTACTAAAGAAGGGACAAGTAAAAACTACCCATAACCGACGAGCATGCATGGTAAATGTCATGAAAGTGGAGCAAGCAAGAGAGGTATGTCAGGCAAGTCTCACCCTACCCCGGGCAAAAAGGCGTGATAATATAAAAAAATTAAGTTAATTAGCTAGTGCGGAAAGAGAACCAGTGTGACAGCTACGAGATTAATTCAAAAAAAATACTATTAATTTTTTCAAATTAAGTAAGCAGCCAGACTATAATGACGTGTTGCGGAGAGGGCTCGCAAATGCGTTGCCGGCCTTTTAAGAATTGTTAAGAGCGAGAAAGTTTGTGGTCGAGTCACATATAGTTATAATAATAACAAAGTCACTTAAATTCCACACTATAAAAATTACAAATCAGCACAGCCTTCTGGCAGTGCGAGTGTCCATGGGCGGCGGTATCACTTAACATTAGATGAGCCTCCTGCCCATGTGCCTCCAGTTACATTAAAAAAAAACGTTAGTAATTATTTCCATTAGGTACTTCAGGTTCCCTTTTGGGTAAAAACTCGTCCTGACCTTTCTATTTGAATCTGTTCTTTGCTTCCTCAATCCCCTATATAGAAATTAGCAAAACCAAAAAGAGAAATTTAACTTACATGTATCCATCCCAAAGTAATAAGATTATGTTGGTCCTGATAGTGAAATATTTCCTCTTCATTGTTGGTGCTGCAGGAATCCGATGTTCCCGTCTGCTTTGGCACAATTACGTGTGTTATCTTCAACTGATTTTGTTCCTGAAATGGTACACATATGACCGATATTACGATCGCTAAGACCGTTAGCTTTTGATATGAAATCGGTGGGTATGGTAGGTATATGTTTGTATATGTATCTAACACGGTCAAAGTGCGCTCATAAAGACGATGACGACACACTTTAAATATGTGAATGGGCTATTTGACCAGACTTTACCATTTCAGATTATTTATTACTGACTATAGAACTTACAAATTGTTATTTAATTCTGTTATTTGTTTTCTGTTCACTGTGTTAGCTTTGCGACGTCGGTGTTTGGCGTATTCGCTGCAATGAAGAACTTTATAACATCCTACACAACGCCAACACCGTCCAATTCATAAAGTGCAACAGGCTCAAGTGGCTGGGACATGTGCACCGAATGACCTTGCTGAACTCACAACCCGGTGGCAAGAGAAAACCCGGTAGACCGTGGCTGCATCGGTGGGATGGAGTTGTTTAGGATCTCGAAACAATAGGGGTTCGTAATTGGACGCGGGAAGCACGGGATAGATTGCGATGGAGAAGTGTACTTGAGGAGGCTAAGGCCCACAAGGGGCTGTATAACCATTGATGATTATGACGATGAGACAAGATGGCGTCGCACTCCATACCATGCCAACCAAAACGACAAGTTTTTTAAAGTCAACATCGATTCGACTCACAAGTCACGAGACGCATAAAAATCAATATATTTAATTATAGATATTTTGATAAATTAATGATTTAACAGTTATTTTACTCCATAAAGCTTCTTAAAACCCTGTTTTATATTACTCTCAATAACATTTCTCTTTTCATACTGTCCAATAGCCCATTATAGAAAAATTTAATTTTTGTTGGCGAACATTTAGAGATTTAATTACATCCTACATTATAATTATCAGCTAAACGACCCAGCGATCTTTATACCGCAAAATTAATGAGGTTGAAATTAATTACTAAATTTAATTTAAATAAAATGGACGTCACTTAAGTTACAAATATATTTTAGTTAATAATTTGAAAGCGCTTACCCATAAAATCTAAAATGGTAGTTTTGGTAGTATTAACCGAGCCCTTTAGTTTCATACATTCAAAAATAATAATATAATATTCTCGTTTCCGAGAAAGTCCAATTGGTCAACATCACTTATATTCTTTATAGGTAAGAGTTGTGTCACTTAGTTTTAAGAACCCATAAATAAGTAAGGGCAAGGCTATGAATATAGGTCTAAAGAAAAAAGTATTTAATATCTGTATACTGCCCTGTGTTACATACGGATGTGAGACTTGGTCCCTTACACAGTTACACAGGAAAAAACTGACAACATTCCAACATGCAGTTGAAAGAAGTATGCTCGGCATCAAGAGGAAAGATAACATTCGAAACACCGACATACGGCGTAGGACAAAACTAACCGACATACTGATCAGAATAGACCAACAAAAATGGAGGTGGACAGGACATTTGATGCGTTCTTCTTCTTATTCAAAGAACAAATGGAGCAACATTGTCACACACTGGTATCCACGAAACGGCAAAAGAAGTAGAGGACGTCAATACAGACGATGGGAAGACGAACTAAAACTGACAGCAGGTCCAAACTGGAGGAGAGTCGCCTTGGACAGAACACAGTGGAAAGAATTGGAGGAGGCCTTTGCCGAAAGGCACACTGTAATTAGGGATATTTTATAATTTTAATTTATATATACTAACTTTTAAACTTATAGTAATAAAGGCTATTTTATTTTATTTAGATAAGTTACAGTTCTTCGTTAGTTCAGTGTCCCAACCCCTAATGTTATGTTAGTTAAAACTTATAAGCTTGTTTTATGATTAAATACAGCTCCGAACAAAGCGTTTCATTTATTTGAAAATCCCTCCAACAACCACCACCAAATATAACTAGTGTCAGAATTATTTATTAAGATTTAACGGTCCAACTTACCAACTTTCCAGCCAGTATGCCGCATAGTTCAATATTTTTTGCTGTGTTGGCAGCGGCTATGACTAGGAATTTGCTAAGTAAAGTTGCCGGTACAACAACGGTTCGTAAACCACCAGACATTGGCAACAATGATTGATATTCATCCCTGTAAACAAGAATAAGTTAAGAATATAAATTTACCAATATTAACAAAAAATGGTAAAAATCTCATTAAAATACCCAAAATTTAAAAGACCAAAACATGCTGTCTTGTAAAAAATTAAATTATTACACATCAGTCTCATAAATTATAGAAGCTTTAGCTTTATAGTCTAAATATCGTTTTTTCAATTAAAAACAAAAAAATTGACTAAATGGTTTAGCATAACGAGCTTTCATATTATTAGTGAAGAATATTGTAACTTAAAAAAAAGAGTGTTGCTTCAACCTTTTTAGGTCTGGGCCTAAGGTTTCTGAATCTGTTTCATGATCATTTGTTAATCTAATAGGCCAGTAGGTGATTAGCCTCCTGTGCCTGATACACGCCGTCGACTTTTTGGGTCTAAGGCAAGCCGGTTTCCTCACGATGTTTTATTTTACCGTTCTAGCGAATGTTAAATGCGAACATAGACAGAAAGTCCATTGGTGCCGGGGACCTACGACCTCAGGTATGAGAGTCGCACGCTGAAGCCACTAGGCTGCTTATTTTTGTTATATATTGTAACTTAACAAATATTAATAATTTATTTCTATGTTTATTAACAATCAAATGACAGAGGTTCTACAAATTATATTAAATGTTAACCTTTCCTAAAATTAATTTTAAAACACACATTATAGATATATAAAATATACTGTAACATCATGTCCATGAAAGAAATAAAGATTGTTTTTATTTATATACTGCTCAAAACAATTAGCGGAACAAGATTTTTCTCCTTTCTATTGCTTAAACTAAAATTAGATTTAAATTAATTTGTACGCTATTTTTTACCTTGTTAATTTGTTAATTACTACAATTAATTTGTTAATTACGAAAATGTGCTCGAAGATCATGTTTGGCCCGCAGCATATGGTATGGGCCCAGATTTTCTTTTAATGCAAGATAATGCCAGGCCGCATACTGCAGCCATCACGTCAGATTACTTACGACAGCAGGAAATCCGTGTAATGGAGTGGACTTCCATGAGCCCTGACCTAAATCCAATTGAACACATTTGGGACTTGCTTGACAGGCGCATCCGGAAGCGTCCGATTGCACCTCAAACACTGCAGCAGCTCACTGAAGCGTTGATTGAAGAATGGGAGCGAATTCCACAAGAAGATATTCGGAGGATCATACGAAGCATGCCGCGTCGTTGTCAAGCCGTGATTAGGGCTCATGGAGGCCACACACGTTACTGAAAGTCACTAAAGACGAATATTCAAACGATATAAGAATATTTCTTTGATGGACCTTTTTTATCCCAATTAGTTTTTCGTCTACAATGCACATTTTAATTTTTTTTTAATAAAAAAAATACAAATTGAATTTTTTTATTAATTGTAGTAATTAACAAATTAACAAGGTAAAAAATAAGTTAATTTAAATCTAATTTTAGTTTAAGCAATAGAAAAATCTTGTTCCGCTAATTGTTTTGAGCAGTATATATAGACAATATCACAATAACATGGAGAACCTGCATAAAATTCTCAATAATTAGTTCACATTGGAACAGAACCTATAATTAAAAGGATATAAAAATCTATTTGACACAAGCATTCTTATATAGAAAGTGTACAAACTGTAGAGGCTTAGATGGGGGTATCAGTGGTGGAACTGGGCTATAGTGATGGGCTGGAGCCCTAGGTGGTTCACTGGCGAAGTCATCAGGATATAAAACACCATCCACTGGTGGTGCACTTGGGTTTACTGCCCAGTTAGTCTGAAAGAACAATTTATTTCAAAATGTATGTGAAGGCATTATATTCTATAAAATTCCAAGTTTTGTATTGAAAGCACAGTTGTTTATTATTATATTGGCATCAAAAATAGACACTAAAATATGCCTTTTGCTCTGCTGAGGGCTTCAGGGACCAGCATAATTGCTAAGTGCAGATAAACAAACCAGGGGCGCTATAACTTCTAAGTCTTGGTTTAAGATTTCTGTATCTGTTTTGATCAATTTTGTTTTAATATTAGGCAAGTAGGTGATCAGACTTCTATGTTTTATTCTCAGGAATAGAAGAATGTGTCAGTAAATGCCACATATTTTTGGCCAAACATCATCTTCAGCCAATCACAGAGCTGTGAGAAAGTTACATCCGTAGAAGTTCAGTTACATAATAGCCCAGGTGTGTGCATACATACTAGTAGATAGCAAATAATATCAAGTTTGTATCCTCTGCTGAACTTTCTAAATAAATATTACATACTGTGGGTGTCAAATGTGGTTTATTCCCATCTTGTTTATTCTCATCTGCTTGAAGTCTTAGAGCTAATTTTTCATCTTCCTTTTCTTGTAACTTCCTTGCCTCTTCTTCAACTTTTTTCTTTGCCTGCCAGTTAAAAACAAATTTCTGTGATTAATTTTAATATTAAGTTTGAAAAATTCAGATACATTCATTACAACAAAATTTTTGTTTAAATATATTGCATCAAATGATAATATGCAATATCTAAACTTCTCTTCTAACATTAACTGAATGCCAATGGCATTTTCCACTTACCTTATTTTTTTTATAAAGAACATGTTCATTAGCATATTGTTCTAGTAGTTTTTGCTTAAGCTTCTCAGCTTTTGGCATAACTTCCTTTAGTTTAGTTTGGTTGACAGACTTGACATCAGCAGGCACTAAACTATAATCGGGATGTTTTCGAATTTTTTCCAAAAATAATGTCATAAATTTCATGTACAATATATAAGCATTTTCTAGACTGCCCTCAGCAAGATAGACATTGGCCATTCTGACCATTTCAAGGCCTGAGCGATAATATCTGAAAATTATAAACGTTATTGAAATATGTGCAACTCTATATGCTATTTTCAAATATATTTGGGCTTAGAATAACCTGCATGAAAGCTCATCAAGTGCTAAGTCTTTGAGGTTTGTTTCTTAAGTCTCATTACTCATTTTATCCATAGGATAACATTTAAAAAAATTGGCTTTTATTAAAATGTAAAAGTTGATTACTTTTATATTTTATACCATTGTATATAATATACTATTTTAATTACTTACAGAACAAATAAAAATGTGTATATAACTGGCTAGCTATAAAAGCCTTTAATTTATATTAGATACTTTTTACCTTCTAGGTGGTACATTCGGATCTACTTCAACCATCGCTCCATAGTTCGCTAATTGTTTAACCCTAAATGCAGGCTCAAGTGCAGCCAGATTTGTTTCTCGTTTTTCAGAGGATTGCATTTTGTTTATTTAATATATCTCAAATACTGTAATGGTTACTAGACAACCAGTAATAAAAATAATGTTAAATTTTAGCACTACTTATATTAATTACTCTTAACTGTATTCTTAAATCTCATTTCATCAATTCAAAGTCAATTACCTGAAAATAAAAATAGACACAACAAGATAATAATTTTCCTCATATTTGAATTTTTTTAGATACCACAGAATAGGATCTAGAAGTTAAAAATAAAAGTCTTACTTGATAGTGACATTGACGATAGAGCTAATATAGAACACGAACGAAACCATAGAAATTAGAAACAAAAAGTGTGAAAATGTGAATTTATAGCTATTTGGCCTTAAGCATCATAATATGGTTTATGTGCATGGGAAAATGAGACAACTTATTCACATTTATGTGCTTCTATGCATTTTAAAACTGTCATCATATTTTTAAGATTGCCTAAATAAAGTATTAGGCTATTTAAAGGATTTCACTCAAACCAAAACAGAATTGAAAAAAACAACAGAAAATATACAAGGATATTGAAATATGTTAAATACTGTAAAACAGTCTACAATTTGTAAAAATAACAATACACTCATGTCTCATACCAAAAATAAAATAAAACAGGAGATAAGTTAGAAGGATTTTCTAAGGAAATATCAATAATATATTTACTCTTTTAACAAAATAAAAAAATCTTAACAAAATACTTAAAAAAATTAAACATTAAAAATTATTATCTTCTCTTCTAGTCAATAATTAAAGATAACCGCTATTGTGATCGCCACTTACTTTCTGAATTCTATTGTTTCTGTCAAACGCCATATTGAATTAAATTTTAATGTTTCTTGACTCTTACGCGTTGTGGTTATTGGTAAACCGTCCGCCGCAGGCCGCTGAGGAAACTCTCCGTACTTGTTTTCGGACTTGCTGAAGTATCTATCTACATCAAAATTCAAAATTTTGTTGCACTACATTAACTATAGATAAAAGGTATTTTTCTGTTTACTTACAATATAATGAATTCCGTTAAACATTTTTTTTGTACTTTCATCCAAAACTGATGTTAATAAGCTCATTTTGAACTTGTACACTTATCAGCAAATTATATTTTTGGTAATTGGTTCTAAAGTTCTATATTTAGTATTAGTAATATACTTACCAAATTATTTTTTTGGGAAGAAGTTGAAAACGCACTTAAACGTTTAAAAATTTTTAGAGGTTCAGGACGCCATGTTTTAAATATGATCCCTCTATAATTATTTTAGAATAGTTACCTTATTTTAATGTATTATATGTATTACATTATAATGAATATTTAAAGATCCGCTAAGTTTCCTAAAAATATCCTTAAAAAAATTTTGCCCCATACACAGAAGTACAGGTAGGTGCGTAAAATTTCCTTTCATTACAAATTAGTTAAAAGCCATTGACTTGCAGTAGGTATTATTAGTCCTATACTAATTGCGAAACAAATATCACAGTATCAGCATAGTTTTAACCTACATTATATATATACAAATAAGACTATTTTTCGTGCTAAAAACTTTCTTGACTTTGCATTTATATTAGGTCGTTATGGGTGATCGTGGCGGGCAAGGAAGGGCTCGCGGTCGAGCAGGCCGAGGTAGCTACGGAGACCAACAGGCCAGACGACCGGGGGAACAATTGCGCCCAGCGCAATCTGCTCCCGGTCCGGGTTCAGCTGCCCCAAGACCTCAACCACCTAGTGCATGGGGTCCACCTAGCGTAGCTCCACATGTTAGAGCTGGAGTGCCTCAACCAACTGAACCTGCTGGCAGAGCCTCTCATCGTTCAACTCCATCCACTCATGCACACCCTGGAGATGTAGATGTTCAACAACAAATGCAAAATTTGGATATAGGTATGTTTAAATTGTTCAAATTACTTTGTGTTGATAACTATGGAATGTTTAACAATAATATTTATCAGATATATTCCATTTAAGTACCAAAACATCAAGCCACTCATTGTAACATTAAATTCTCTGAAGTATTAGGCATTACTTCTCTTAACTTAAATTTAATTAGCTTCACCAGAAAATGTGCAGTCACTCCAGTGTTGATACACATATATAGTTCACTTCAACATATTAATATTTTTGCTGTTTCGGTCTACTTTACTTTAAAAGTGAATAGAATAGCAATGCTTTAGAAAGAAACAATTAATCCTGTAATAATACAACAGGTAGAAAAGAATTTGGAAGTGGTGATGTTGCATCTGCACCTTCACGAGGCTCATTCCGAGGTGGTGGAAGAGTTCTGCCTGATCAAGTTCAAGTTCTTAGGACACGACCAGAAGCAGTTACATCAAAAAAGGGTAAGTTTGTATTGTATTATTAAATATTTTCAAATATGCTAAGAAATTCATTTCTTTGAAGGAAATGGAATAATGAATGCAATTATTATTATTATTAAATTTTAACATAATAAACTTGTAAATATAAAATTTATTTGCAATTTCCACATCTTAAATTACCAATTACAACTTATAAGTTTTATAATAGTCAGCAGTTTTATTGTTACTGAGTATATTTATTTTATCACTGTTTTGAGAAGCTTTGTAAGCAGTTTGATTGATAGCCGAAATATGCTACCTACTGAAGCCGTATGTAAGGACTATTATCCTTTATTTTTATTTATGATAAAGTTTTAAAAGGTAGGTGTTTACATTTTCTCTAATGAGTATTAAATGCTATCTAATTTCATTACTAACATAACATTGCTATCTTGGAAGTGTTATCTCACCAAACATGAATAAAAAAATAAATTCCTTAATTAATATCTCCCTTAAAATGTAAAGAATTTTATTTTACCCTTTAATTATAGTATTATATAACAATGGTTTTACCACTCAATAAATTTGTATGTAAGTTGAAATATTAGACAAAATTAAGTCACTGGTACTATATTATATTACTAACTCTGTTTACTTATTCTTAATACTACATATTTATTAATCTATAGGAACATTTGGTACACCAATAAATCTACTAGCCAACTATTTCACTGTGGAAACTACTCCTCAATGGTGCCTTTACCAGTACCATGTTGAATTTGATCCAGAGGAGGATCGCACTGGTGTTAGAAAATCCCTTTTACGTCCACACACCAAAAATTTTGGGGGGTGAGTCATCTTTGTTCATACTTAATATTTATTTTTATTATAACTTTGTGTATAATATAATACGTAATATCTTAAACATTTTTTTATTTGTCATGTAACTTTTTAATTGTCTTGGTACTGTTTTGTATTAAAACTATATAAATGGAAATATATAACAATAACTTTTTATGGTGTGCAATTAATAAGGAATCTAAATTTTTTACTTCATTATATCCACGGCGTATTCCAGCCCCAGCCATGCAAAATAATTATTCTGATTTCGGTGTGTTACCCTAGAAGTCAAAGGAAATCTTTATTGCACTGTAGAGGACCCTCAGGAATGGAGATTCCGATGTAGTTAGTCCGAAGGTATCGACCGGATGTTTTTCAGGAGAGTGAGCAGTTGATAATGCAATCCCTTTTTCCTTGATACCTTCTCATACCCCTCGCAGTAAGTCAGACGCGGTACATATTCTTTTGGTATTTGAAACTGCACTAACGTTGCAACCACAAATTTCTCTGACTTTACCACCACTCTACGAAGGAGGTTTCCTCGACAAAAGCACTAGTTGTATATGTATACTATATAGATTCGGGTCACTGTAGTCGGAAAACTGTGACTCCCGTATATGACAAAATCCAATACGGAAATCAGGGGTTAGCGTTAAATACACATTCAAGAATGAAATATACAGTTTTAAATATTAATTAAAAAAGTTTAAATCAAATTTTTATATTTTTGTAGATGTCTTTTTGATGGAACATCACTGTACACTGTGAATCGTCTACCACAGAGTCCTATGGAATTTTACTCTGAGCGAAAATCAGATGGGGAGAAAATACGGATTTTGGTCAAGGTATACTTTTATGTTTAGTTATTTTTGATGTCGCATTGTTATATAATCATATACAAGAAAAAAATATATTTTATTCTTGTGTTTTTCTCCTTTGAAGTTTCTGCAATACAAAAACCCAAAATTTCCGTTCCATCTTTTGTGTTCAATATTTATAAAAATATAAAGAATAGATAGAAGTCATAAGACACATAAGAATTCTGAAAAGTTTAAAAATGTTTTGGGTATGAAAAATATTTTTTTTATTGCAGCTGATTTGTGCTGTCAGTCCTGGAGACTACCATTACATACAAATCTTCAATATTATTATTAGAAAATGCTTCATCATGCTGAATCTTCAAATGATTGGGCGAGATTTCTTTGATCCACAGGCTAAGGTAAACTCAAATTTTTATTCTGTTGTAGGTATGATTAATTGAATTGAATTTGTTTAATATTTATAAAGTGTACATACAATAACTTTTATGAATAGATTTTTTAAATTTCACTAGTAGTAGCAGTTGTGTTTTATTATGTGCAGGTTGACATGCGCGAACACAACCTGCAAATTTGGCCTGGATACAAAACTACTATCAACCAATATGAGGACCGGCTGTTGATGGTCACAGAAATAACGCACAAGGTAAGTTTTGCAACTCTTGTCATTAATTCGGTTGAAATGACTAAAATGAAGTCAAGGTCAACATGTAAGGGTCTGAATTACATATTATATGGAAATAAAAGAAGGTTTTAAAGAAAAACAGATTGCCTGGAATTTATGAATATCATCCAATTACCGACTGACTAATTGTGCAACTGAGTTGTTTCATAAATTATTTTATTAATTTGTAGGTAATCCGTTTGGACACAGTTCTGCACTTGCTGCATACATATAGCAACACTAAAGGGCCTTCGTTCAAACATCAATTTTGTCAAGATTTGGGAGGTTAGTTATTTTCTGAATCTATGTGAAACCTAAATAGTGAGCAGTGTTGGGCTAGTGGCTTCAGCAGACTCTGATCCCTGAGGTCGTCGGTACGATCCCCGGCTGTGCGCCAATGGACTTTCTGTCCATGTGCGCAGTTAACATTCGCTAGAACGGTGAAGGAAAACGTCGTGAAGAAACCGGCTTGCCTTAGTCACAAAAAGTCGAGGGCGTGTATCAAGCACAGGAGGCTGATCACCTACTTGCCTATTAGATTAACAAATGATCATGTAACAAATTCAGAAATCTGAGGCCAAGACCTAAAGAGGTTGAAGCAACACTGTTTTTTTTGAACAGCTAAATTTAATTCTCATTTTCTGAAAAGCATTTGAAGCTGAAATGAATAATGTATGCTATGTAGATAAACTGATTAGGGCATCAAATTTGAAAATTGAAATAACATAGACTTTCTCTTGATCCTCTTATTAGAGGCACCAAGTTTTATCGGTAATTTTTTTTTGTTAGTGCTCGCTTAACCCAATAAAACATACTTATGATTCCAGGTCAAATTGTAATGACGGATTACAATATGAAAACGTATCGAATTGACGACGTGTCGTGGGAAACTACTGTCAGATCAACGTTCCGTATGAAAGATGAAAATATCACATACATTGACTATTATAAGAAGGTATGATAGAAACAAGTTAATTTAAAGAAATTAATTATACATATTAATATGGTCTATTTAAATATTTAACTGCCTCAATTATCAATTAAGTAAGGGTGACATTCAGAAGCATACTTTTTTTTTTACAAAATGATTCGCCTAATTAAATATAATGAGTTGTATTTAGCTCATGTGAGCAGTGTTGGCCTAGTGGCTTTAGCGTTTGACTCTTCTCCCTGAGGTTGTAGGTTCGATACGCGGTTTTACACCAATGGAGTTTTATTATATGTGCGCATTTAACATTAGCTCGATCGGTGTAGGAAAATATCGTCCAGAAACCGGCTTGGCTTACCCAAAAAGTCGTCGGGGTGTGTCAGGCAGAAGAGGATGATCACTGACTTGCCTATTAGATTGACAAATGATCATGAAACAGATTCAGAAATCTGAGGCCCAGACCTAAAAGGTTGTAGCGCCACTGATTTGTTTTTTGTTTATTAAGTTGATGTATTTTAATTTTTAACAATGTGTTTAAGGAACATCCAACTCGTTAAATTCTTTTTGAAACATGAAGTTGTAAAGATCTCAATTTCCTTTTTAGAAATACAACATCAACATCACGGATATGAGCCAGCCCCTATTAATATCGCGTTCGAAGCCTCGCGACATCCGAGCGGGAATGCCCGAGCTGGTCTTTCTGGTGCCGGAGTTGTGCCGATTGACTGGTCTTTCTGATGATATGAGAGCCAATTTTCAACTTATGCGCAGTATGGCCGTTCATACTAAATTAGGCCCCGATCAGAGAATTCAGAAATTGCTCCACTTCAATCGCAGGTTGACTCAGACTCCGGAGATCGTACAGGTTTGTGAAAAGAAATCTTAATTCATCTTCTAAAACATCAGTATATTGTAAAACTTGATAATTTTACAAATAGGCAATTTTAAATATGCTCACTTTGAAATCCGGTAGCCCAAATGGGGCACGGGGCATTTTTCTACATGCCTCAATGGGTTTTGTTTGGCAAAAATACAAACCAAGCTTTGTAGTCATGCATGTCTCGCAGCCAACTAGCTTAGTTAGCCGTTCAATTAAAGCCTCAGCCTAGCCGTTTAACTAGCGGCCTGAAAGATGTTCAGCCAGTTGATTAAACAGCTTGGCAATAATGACTTGGTTTGATGACATTTCATTACTTGCCTAGCCTGTTGATTGTTAATTTAAATTTAATTCCACTTTCTGCCACTCTCAAACTCGAAACGTAACTCTTCAAACTGTCAATATGGCGTTACCAAACCACAACTTTGATAATTTTCATGGAAGATTGTAGTGACAAAAATAATGTGAATTTTACTTAAACATTTTAATTTTAAAATAAATGTTTGTTATGTCATATGTTTATCTTTTTTATTTCTGCCAAATAATGACTCAATCGTACGAATGGCCTAATGATTAGCCAGCCAGTTTATTAAATGTTGTAACAAACGCTACGGCTGAATCTCTTTCAGGCCGCTAGTTAAACGACTGTTAACTGCACGGCTAATTAAGCTAGTTGGCTGCGACATATGTGTTAAAATATTGTGCAATTAAATAAAAATGTTATAAATGAACTCAGGAACTGGCGTCTTGGTCGTTGAAACTGTCCAATGACTTGGTGCGGTTCAAGGGACGACAATTGCCTCCCGAGAATATAATCCAGGGAAACAATGCGAAATATCCGGCTGGAGATACTTATGACGGTTGGACTAGGGATATGCGGTGAGTCATATTAAATTACATATTATTATAACAAATTTGTTGACACATTTGCATATAGGGGTGGCAAACATTACATTATTATTTATTGCAACTTTCGTAGTAAATTGATTTCTCGGAAAAACCTTAGTTATATTCCAATAGTTTCACCAATAGTTTACGTATTTCTGGAGCTGGTATGTTATACTTCTTTTGGCGCGTTAGGGAAAAATTATAGCACCCGCACACCGTCACAAAAAACCGACACTCTAAAGTTAGGTATAGTCAACATTTGTTTTTGAAGTTATACTTCTTTAGGCGCGTTATGAAAAATTGATGAGAGTGAAATTTTACGATGCGCGCGCACCTGTGACACAAAATTAGGAGTGTGATTATTTTGAATGACCATAATGACATTTGTCATTTACCTTTTAAACAAATAAAGGAGTTTTAATTATTTTTTCAAAGAAATTTAGCGATGCTTTTTGAATTATATATAATCAGAAGTGATTTAAATTGAATATTTAAACAATACTAATTAATATTTGTGAAAAAACTGTGCTCATCAACCTTCCTAAGTGCTTCATTACAATTGAGGTTAACTATAGTTTGTATTATTATTATCGAGTAATGTTTTGATTAAAAAAATTACCACATTGTTTAATCAAAACATGTAATTTTTCTTAGCAAATATAAGGAAAGAGACAAAAAACAATTGATGAATAGTGTAAGTGCACTAAATTGAATACAAAAAAGAGTTGTCATCTTATCGCTGTGAAACATAAAAACTGCGGTGGAACAAAGCCAAACTATTTTTAATAATGCCAAAGAAGTAACCGTACATAAGAAGACCTTTTTTCTATTGTTAGTGTCGTTTTTTCTACGAACGTCGAATAAATTTTTGAAAAGATTTTTATCTTGTTACGCCAAAGAAGTATAATTTCTAACGCGTGTACATGAGTAATTAGTACACACACTTTTTTTTTTCTTTGCGCGCAATTAGCACTCCTACGGTGAAGGCAAAAATTGTGAGTAAACTGGCAAAACCAAATATCGATTATGTGTGAGACAGAAGCTTTGATTATCGAGCTCTTCGTGAGAATTAAGTTTTTTATTTAGTTTTAACTGTTATTTTTTATTTATTTTTTATATTGTGGTTGCTTGCTAGCTTGCTTATGTTCAAATATAATTGATGTTTATAATGTTATGCATACACGTTTTTCTGGAACTTATAAATACATAATGAAGCCTTGATCAGTGATCACTGTGTATAATAAAAAAAATATATCGAGAAACGGATGCAATCTGACGGTAAGGTAAATCTGTAAACCAACAACCAAGGGTTGTAGCGCCACCGGATTATTCTGTTTTTTATTCGTTTTTCTGGAGATGACTGTAAATTTGTCAAAATTTTATAAACAGATCGAAACAGCTTCTTACTATTGCTCAAGTACCTTCGTGGGTCGTGCTCACCCCGAGTCGGCAGCAACGAGATGCGGAATCTTTCGTGGATCTCATAATCAAGACTGGCGGCGGATGTGGATTTAGACTGCCAAGACCTGAAATTGGTAAGCCCTAATCGATACGCGTATTAGCTTATAGAATAGGTAGCTTTTTGTCTTGGAGCACTGCTTCGTGGATACTTACCATTAAGGAAATAGCTAATAATATAAGTGAATTAAATATAAATAAAGATGAGGATTCCGTTCTACAAAAATAATTCAAAAAAACTTCCGCTACATAAGTTTAAACTTTATATCAAGGACACCCTAATAAAAAAAGGATATTACACAGTTCAACAATTACATAAATGATAACAATGTGTGGGCACTAATGCCGCTATAAGATAGTGAGATGGCGTAAATTCACATGCATAAGTGTACAAATTGTACCTAGATGAATAAATGACTTTTGAATGAAGATGAAAAAGACATCTATGGCACTACTTATATTTGGTCGTAAAAACCGATAGTTGTAACAGCCGATGACGTTGTTACTTGTTTTTAAGTACCTAATTAAACATAATTCTGCCGGGACCTTTAATTTTGGTCAATATAACCGGTATGTTGTTCTAAACGATGTCGTCGTAAACGGTTTTGATTGTATATATTTTATAACTTATGTGTAATCTAAATACACTTTAAAAGTTTTAAATTCAAGTTTCGATAAAAACCCCCAGGCTATATTAAATTGCCTTGTTACAGGGAGTTAAAAACTCATAATTTTTAAATAATGTTCAATCGTCATCAAATTATTATTTTTTCCAGTAACAATTCAAAGGGACAGCAGTGGGGATTATTCCAATATGTGCGATACAATTATTGCCCGTAAAAATCCCACTATAATGCTTATCGTTTTGGCTAGAGCCGCTACTGACAAGTGAGTAAAAAGATTCTATAAGCTTATTTACACATCATATGTTATTTTTCAAAGAAATATATATATTTCGTATATAGCTAAAAGTCTTTTTAAAAGCGTTAATAATATATTGTTCAAAATAGATACAAGGCGATTAAGAAGAAGTGCACCGTAGACCGCGCAGTTCCCTCACAGGTTGTGTGCGCACGGAATATGACAAGTAAAACTGCGATGTCCATTGCTACGAAGGTTGCCATTCAAATGAATTGCAAGGTTAGTCGTGTTTATACTAATATTCTTATGAATAAACTTAAAAATACTGGATTGAATTCAAAAATTAAAGCCGGAAAAAAAACCTATTTTTTTTTTTTTTCACCGATAGAACCAATTCAGACCCCGGAACTCGGAACTGTTGACTAGACAAGATGGCGGAATTTTATTATTATTAGATTTAGATAAAAAAATGTGATAGTAATTTGTGGCACATAATACAATTGTATTAGTTAGAATTGTTATAAGCATTCTTGTGATGAAAATAAACCCCAGAACGTTTTACTCGCATCACAAGAATGGAGTTAATAATAAAAATATGATTGAGTGAAGAGTTTCTTTGACCACAACTCAAACGGAGACTCTGTAATAGGAATATTACAGTAAAAACAATAATAAAACAAATAAGATACCTCACTCATTTGAAATGTTCAGAAACAAGTTTTAATGAAATGATTTTAATTTTTTATTTAGATTGTGAAATGTCACCCATAATGTAATAAATTTCATATTCAATTGAAATATATCAGTATGTTATATTATAAAGACGAAGAGAAGTCTATAAAAAGATATTCCCCAATGTTACATATCACTTCCAAGACAAATACTGTTTTCGTTATTAATAAAAATAGCCCAATATTTCAGCTGGGTGGAGCACCGTGGACGGTTGAAATCCCGCTGCCGAGTCTCATGGTCATCGGATATGATGTTTGCCACGACACGCGGTCCAAGGAGCGCTCGTATGGAGCCTTTGTGGCCAACCTTGACAGGCCCATGAGCCAATACTTCTCAGCGGTTAATGCACATACTTCGGGAGAGGAACTCTCCGCCCATATGAGCTTCAATGTCGGTTCCGCCGTTAAGAGATATCGCGAGAAGAACGGTAAGATTACATATTAAAAACAACTAAATTTTTAAATTTATAGTATTCTTTCAATAATTGACTGAATGAAAATGATCAAGCTAAACAAAAATATAGTGATCCCCCTATAACGCGGTAGACCGGGACCGCGTTGTAGTAAAAAATTTTTTGGACTATTCAAAAAGTAGGAACGCGAATTTAATAAAGTTAATTAATTTAATTTTATCACAACACAATTGAAGGTGCAAAGGTACGCAAAAGTAATTGTATACTTGACAAATCATTATAAATTTCACACTACAGAAATATAACCTGAGAAATCTCCGCGTTACACGAAAGCGTGTTATAGGGGTACCGGGTTATAGAGGGAATTACTGTATCTATAATATATCAGCATTATATAACATTTTATACGTTATGTTTCAGGTGTATTACCCGGAATGATTATAGTATACCGGGACGGCGTTGGCGAAGGACAAATTCCCTACGTCTCCAGCCACGAGGTATATACACTACTGGCCACACTTATTTTCGATTACGAATTTGCATTTATTACGAATAAGATATTCTTTTTCGGCTGTCGAGAATATTAGATAACAAAAAGAATAATTATTATTTCTTATTTCTAAAACACATCAATTAATTTTCACAACAGTTTTCATTTACATTCAAAATTAATATAGTGTTACTAAAAAATATTAACAATAATGATTAATCGTTAACAGGTTGCAGAAGTGAAGAAAGTGTTAACTGAAATATACGGAACTCCGCAATTCAAGCTGGCGTTCATAATCGTCTCGAAACGCATCAACACGCGTATCTTCGTCGACGGGAATCGTTCTGGGGATAATCCCAAACCCGGAACTGTCATTGACGACGTGGTTACATTACCGGAGCGGTGAGATATTTATTAAGGCTTTACTTATTTTTTTGAAGTTATACTTTCGGCGCGTTAGGGAAAAATGAGAGTAAATTTTTACGATGCGCGCGCACTCCGTCACAAAAAACCGACACCCTGAAGTTAGCTATAGTCAACATTTTAGTTTTTTCTACAAACGTAGAATACAATTTTTGAAAAGAATTTTATGTTGTTATGCCAAAGAAGTAAAACTTCTAACGCGTTTACATAAGTACACACACGTTTTTTATATTATATTATTTTATATATTTCATTAGAAATTATATTATTAGATTATTTTATAATAATTTACTGATGTTTTTACGGAAATATTTTCAGATGTCGTATGTGAATTTTTTGTTGTGTGTGTAACAAATGTGAAAGAAAAGAGCCTAATTTTATTTTCTATTTCAGTTACGACTTCTATTTGGTAACTCAGTCAGTCCGCGAGGGTACGATCGCTCCAACCTCGTACAATATCATTGAAGATACAAGTGGACTGTCTCCAGACAGGGTGAGTATTAAGCTATTATCAATTTTAATATGGGTCTTGAATAAAAACCTATCATAGTAGTTTGAGACCTGTACGTCTAAATTTCTATGAAAATCGTTTTAGTAGCGTTTTAGATATGGGGCCGTTCAAGTATTACGCAATCAGATTTACTGAAATTTACCCCCTTTAGGTGGAAACCTGGAAAATGCATTTCGTTTTCAAGCATAGACGTGTGGGTAATATGTGTAAAAATAGTAAATAATTACTGTTGACGTAATCACCAAATAAGAAAATCAAAGACATATAATGCTTACGTAAGCATTTCTCATTATCTAATAAGATAGTATGTCTTGCTCCCGAGCAGAACTTATAGACCACAAGCCCATGAACAAAAAATACCTGTGAAATGACCCAACCTGAATTACGCTTAGAAGGCTGTTACTATATCTGAAAATAGCTCTGAGCACTATGCCGTCATTTCTGAGCGGTACATGTGAGTACGTGAGTGAATGGACTTTCTCATGTACAATGGGGGAATTTCGACTAATTATTAATGTACGGCTTTGTTATAAGTGTATAGATGATTAAAAATAAATGTCGAAAAACCTAGTGCCGTACAAAAGTGATGGTGCCGGAAGTCGGTGCAAATTTTTAATTCGACGACAGTTGCAGGAGCAATATAGGTCATTTATTACTGTACGGCATTTGTGTCATTCCTTTTGGACACATATACAGATACTTTACCCGTAAACGCCGTACATATTTCCAGGGAGCGGTCGAAAGCCAAGGGTAGGGAACCCTACCCCTACACCCATATACCCTAAGGTCATTGTAAAATGTACGGCAACATTTCAAAATATTATTTAACACGGACAATAATGTTTTATAATTATGCCGTCCAAATATTATAGTTAATATTTGTGTTATTAAATATTTATCGAAATTTCAGGATTTACCAAGTTCTTACTGCTGTAAGATCAGAGAATAATGTACGGCAACTTGTTTTTTTACATAATTTACTAAATATTACCGTTGTACATTATAGCCGTTCATTATAAATGGTAACAAATAAAAATATTATGATAAAAAAATATATGAAATTTCCGAAATTTAGATGACTTTTCAAATGCTCCTAGATAATATGGGGAGTAATATTTTCAAAGATTATTTTATTTTATATGTAACAAATATAAATAAACAAAAAAACCAGATGCCGTACATTTTACTCCAGATTATTCTTTACAGCTGATAAAAACTTCTACGACGTTTGAGGTGTCCCTTAAGGTCATTAATAACTGTGCATATCTGAGTATACTACCATAAGGCTGTAAAGTATATTTACAGCCTTTTTCGTACCAGAAAGAGGTAAAGGAAAAATATTTTTAACAAAAATATATATAATACAGGAGCGTCCCAAAGTTATGAGACATGAAGGGAAAGTACCTTAAATATCGCAGATAGGGTATTTTACTAAAAGAAGACTTTATGTTATTTATAAAAGTTAGTAATTCTGATTCAAAGATTTTTTAAAACTACTTGCCTCGTCTGGAAATCGAACCGGCTTAAATTAAAAAAAAACACCCCTACTTTTATGATGCCAATCGAAAGAATGGCCAAAACCTAATAACTTTTCTAAAATAACAGACTCGTAGGGGATTTTTTTAGGCCGAATACATAGATAATGTTTTTAATTTGATTAAAAGATATATTCACGCTGTTCCTTTCTTTTAAAATACTGTGTTACTTAAGAAGAGTTATTAGTTTTTGGCCATTCTTTCGATTGGCATCATAAAAGTAGGGGTGTTTTTTTACATTTAAGTCAGTTCGATTCCCAGACGAGGCAAGTAATTTTTAAAAAATCTTTGAATGCAGAATTAATAACTTTTAAAAATAACATAAAGTCTTCTTTTTAGTAAAATACCCTATCTACGATATTTAAGGTACTTTCCCTTCGTTTCCCATAACTTTGGGACGCCCTGTATTGGTAGGGGTGGTAGCGGACTATCGAAAGTGTACGGCATTTATCTTTTATTGAAGATTGTCTAAAGTATTAATAACCTGTGTTATTGGTACAGATAAAAGTCACCGGAAAATGACTCTTTTCTGAGAAAAGTAATTTGCCCCATACACCTATGTGTTCCACAAAAATTACGGCATGTGGAAAATGTAATCTATTTTAATACTCTCAAATCATTTAATTTTATGTTGATTCATATCATATCACCTATATGCTAATCAGACATATGTTGGACCCTTGGCTTTCGACGTCCGCTGGGAATATGTAGGCTTTACGGTAAAGTATCTGTATATGTTCAAAAGGAATAAAAATGCCTACAGTAATAAATACCTGTATTTCCTGCAACTTTCAATTAAAAATTTGACACTTCCGGCACCATCACTTTTGTACGGACTAGGTTTTTCGACATTTATTTTTAATCATCTATACACTTATAACAAAGCCGTACATTAATAATTATCGAAATTCCCCCATTGTACATGAGAAAGTCCATTAACTCACGTACTACATGTACCGTCAGAAATAGGATAGTGTCAGATATTTTCAATATATAACAGCCTTCTAAGTAATTATTGGTATTTAAATTGTTTATTAGCTTTGCATGACCTTTTATTTATCCGTTTTAATATAATTTTCGTTAATTTTAGATCCAGCGTCTGACGTACAAGCTGACTCACATGTACTTCAACTGTTCCTCTCAAGTGCGAGTCCCCTCCGTCTGCAAATACGCCCATAAATTGGCTTTCTTGACGGCTAACAGCTTACATGATCAGCCACACCATTCGCTCAGCGAATCTTTGTACTATATCTAAATAGTATTAATTAAGGAAAATACACATGTAACAATTAAGCTATTCATTGAACATGCTATTACGACATTGTAAGTTCAATTTGCTTTTGTGTATTTGAATTGAGTGGATTGTAATATTCTGCAGTCGCCTTCTATTAAAGTCCGAAATTTCTTTAGATATAATGGATTAAAGTTAAAACAGTGTTTGTTGACTCAGTTTTCGCACTTATCTCACATTAGGTCCGACGTGCCTTGTTATAGACTATAAGTCTCACTACACTAGTAGTACTTACTTTTTTTATTGCATTTTAATTTGAATCTCGTAGCTTGAATAAAGACAAACGATTAACCATTAGTTGTCATATTAAACTTGTCGAAATACCTCGTTAATACATAGTGCGAAAAGTACAAAATATATTTGTGTTAAAATTATCGAACATTTTGTAGTTTATAGGAAAAAAAAAATTTTTTTGTTTCATTATTACTTAGTTTGTAAGTTATAGAAATATGCAGCGAAAGTGTTATTTAGAGCAAGATTTCAAAGTGCCAGAATTAAGTTACAATATGATCTATCTCGGAACACACCTAGAGACTCGTTAACTTGTTTTTAAAGTTGTTTAGCAGTTTTAGCAAGACTATTCTTGAAACTTTATTAAATAAATGTGTTTATTGGCTTTGAGATCTTGGCCTATGTTGTGATGTTTCATGATGACCAATCTCTGTTAAAACTTCTGGCAGCTCAGTTGCTCTGGCACTAGTTGAGATTGGTCCTTACTCGGGACAAAAGTGATAGTATTAGTCATTTGTTGATTTAATTCTAATTCTTGGCAAGTTAATCGCCTACTGCCGAATTCCCACCTCGAACCAAACTTGGCGAGTGTCATATTGTTGCATTTCCTAGATGTCTACTGTGATAGAGTTTAAGATTTGTTTGAAGTACCTCCATCTTTTTTTATTGAGATGAGGGCTGTTTGATGATTACAGTTAAGCGTTGTTTAAGAGGAATGATTGATTCGAAGCAATGCTTCATATTTTGGTACTCTATTTTTTTAGTATTTTTTCAATAAATATTCCCGCTGTCCTATAGTTTGATAACTGTCTAAGTATTAAATAAAGTCTGTGCAAACATTTTACAACAAATAAAAACTTACGAACGTTTTATTAAATTCGTTCTTTGAATTAGTATGTTATCGAACTATAGGGGCGTGGATTCTTTCGTAAACCTGTGTTTTATTTTTATTATGAAACTGAAGGACTAAGTTAATAAACTTCTTCAATACTTCCCTAAGTGCAAATGAAGTTTAAATAGTGGTTAAAAATAATTGACATTTTATTTATAGCACACATCTGCAAAATAAGTTACAACAGATATAACACCAACAGAAAACAGGACACCAAATACACGCCGTACAAACGTATAACATAGCATATGCCAAATTTTCATAAAATTTACAGAATATCAAAAAATAAGGATAAAATTTTGGCCATCGACGGTGAACCCAGGCACAGGGTCTTTTCCGTATAGTTTGAACAAAAATATCTTCACAATTATCACAGTTCCACACTTTGGTGTCGGCCTGTTGAATAATGACCGTTGCCTTTTTTCTGAATTTTTGGCAGAACTGTGAAAATTTATTTTTGCGTTTAGGTCTAGATTTTTGCTGTATAATTTTTTTCCGACCTTTACTTTGTCGAAAATGGCTTCGTTGTTTAGTATTTAACTTATTTGGTACAGCATATTTACGGTGGAGGCATTCTATCGGTTTATTAGGCTTACAATTACATAAACATCTTCGTTGAATAACAGGCAGAGATGGTGCCTTCTTTTCGTTCATCTTTAAATTTCGCTTATTATGAATACACGTACTTTTGAGCGAACAGCAATTCCGAAGATGACAGGGTCTCCGAACATTTTCTAATACATCCGTTGTACAGATACATTGTGAATCCAAATGTGGTTGAATTCCATCGTTAAATGTTACGAATTTAGGTGATTTCTGCAAGCTAGAATAAACTGGGACATTTTTCGATTTCAGTGGTTTACATTCAGTTTGCACAGATTCACACACACAATTTACATCTTGGGGTACGTTTTTCTTTAATTGGTCGCATAAGCAATCGCTAACTTTAGTTATATTGTTTTCATTTGGTCGATTTCGAGAAATATCTTGAATTTTATGCTCCTTCGTTTCTTCTGATTCTTGTTGGATTTGTGTGTAAAGGTCTTGACTTCCTAATTCTTGTTCGTTTTTAGTTACTTTGGAATCTTTGGATGGGCATTTAACCTTGGAAACATCATTTTTACATTTAATTAAATCAAGTGTAGGCCCATTCTTATTTAATTTATCTTCTTCGGGTAATGCCTCTCCACGGGTTTTTATAGTTTTTTCAAAACCTTTATTTTCCCTTACTTTGATTGGCTTCATTACCCACCCCCTGTCATTATCATAATACAGTTTGTACTTCTTTTGAGGGTTTGGATATTGTTTTCCTTTTTGGATATTTCCATTCCGGCGCAATAACGTAGATTGTGTAGTCCCGATCCTTGTGTTTCTCTTAAAATTTCTATCTTTAATCAAAGAGAACATAGCGTCATAGAAACCCAATAGCTTTTTAACAGCACCAGCAACACAAGTGTAAATGGACTTCCAAAAGTCTTGATCGTCATTTTGGGATCTCTCTGTTTTACAGCTTTCAATATCTTTTACTGTTTTAATTATTTCGTGGGGTCTCATAGGATATGATACTATCCAGAGAAGCGACATCATCAATATGCATGGAAACCATATAATAACAGAGAGTGCAAAGAGGGTAAATTTTACGCTTTTGGTTATAAAAATAGGACAGGTAGGAACCTTTGACGATCTAGAGGAATTCTTATACTTCGATAATACTTTTGATTTAGGACGACTTTTCAACTGACTTTTTGGCTGAAGAGTTGGCACTGAACAAGTTCCTTGAACTGGAAATGAAGCTGCATTATCTCCGCCTCCTTTAGAATTATCAAAAGATGTAGTGGGCACTACCATTCGCTGGGTATCAAACAGGCGAGTTATTGGTTCACATTTAGAAGAATCATTGGGATTAAAACGAACGGCATTTGAAAAATCTATAACGTTGTATGTTCCGCCTAATTGATGGGCGTGGTGCTGGCATGTAGAATTAAGATTCGCTTTAGTATGTTGTATGTTATGGTCTGAGTAGAAATTACGGTAACGTGCATTATCACTTGAAGCTGTTGGGATTGTTGTGCTTCTGCGACGACGTTTTACTTGCGGAATGTGTAAGCGACAGCAGAACTTGTTATTTCCAGTTTTCTTATCATAATTTATGTCGTGAGATGATTTAGAGTTGTAATGAATTGCATATTTACAAATATCTTTAGAATTCGATGTCAAACGGCGTCTTCTTTTTGATTTCCAATTTTTTGATTTGAAAAGAACTTCTATTTTGTCACTTACAGATCCGCTTCGTGGTAAAAAAAAATTTCGTTTCGTTTTACTCTTTTCTTTATTATTTCTAATATGTTTTGATTTTCTATCGGTACAAAACGAATCATTTGACTTAGTGTTCCTTTTACGCAACAAAAAGCTATGAAATCGTTTTGAGATTTTACTTCTAGGAATATCTGAAAAAAGTTATTAACGTTAAAGGAATTCAAATACATTTTAATTCATAGATTCAATATATTTTTTCGTTGGCTCAAAGTGAACCAATTTTAATACACGTCCAATTTACAAGCATGTCATATTCTCGCACTAATTCTTATATCCTACCTATAGAGATACGCTACGTTAACAGGCGACAACGAGAAATAAGACGTAGATACTTAGCGTACGAACTTTCGAGGTCACTATATACTTATTATTAATAATACCATAATTGGATCGTCCAAATATTTGACTTATACATTGTTGCACTGATGGCTTTTTTGTTGGCTTACTGCTTTCATTTTCCGTTTGGACTTGAGGTTTAAATATTTGTGAAACTAATTTTTCCGTTTGGTTACAATGTTGGCGAACTGTTTCTGGTTTCTGTTGTACTACTTGTGAACTCCCCGGCTCTCTATCAAGAAACTTTATTAGATGTAGCCCATGCATATTTAAGTTTATCTTGCTATTTGTTTTGGTCACGTATTACACTGTAGTGCTATAAAATCTATGTTTGACCCCTTAAACATTATTGTAAGTACAACAAAAATATATAAAAATATAACTTGTAGCAAAAGTGACATCAAAATGTCGTAATAAATACATTTTTGAATACGTCATTTATACTTATGCTATAGCATATCCTGTGATATCATAGACTATTATATTATGTAGGTATTAGATTGACGCCGCGTTTGATGTATTTTCCTATATCCTCAATAAAAGCGCAACGTAGAACGCGTAACACGTAGTTTGTTTTCTTTTTATAACTTTTTATAGCCGAAAGCATAATAGTAGTTCTATACTTATTAATCACAAACTAAACAAGTCCTTATAAAAATTTGTATAAGTACACAAATAGCAAGTACTTACCTTAATATTCGTAATTATCTTGAAATAAAAAAACAAGAATTTTGTTGCATACACAAAATATAATTTTATCTGTCACAACAACATGAACAAAAACAGCACTTACATATTTCCAAGCAAAGGAATGCTGGTACCCAAAACAATATTCCAAGCAAGAACATAAAAAAAACCCGTAAATTCCTCCACTGTGCTCTAGCGCTCAAATATTGAGGATAAAATTGGGGCCAGCGGTGATAAATCCATAATTGAGGCGTTCTTTGTAGAGACATTAGATAACAATCTCGGGCAGAGGCGTTCCATTTTCTTTCAGACTTAGAGGGACTGGAGAATCTAGATTGCCCACAAGGGGAAACTGTATTTACTTGCGCAGGTTGAAACAAAATTCTTCGCATATTCGCTAATAAATCGTACTTATTCACTTTTGCTATGTTTTTTAAATCTTTATCAGTTTTTATGAATTTATCAAAAAAGTTTTGAACGACATTAGCGGGTGCCCCATTTTGTAACTTTTTGGATTTTTCATACTTTTTGCATTTTTCTATAGCTTTTGTTACGATAAATAATTTTCTTTCTGCTTGCTTAAGTTTCGAAGTTGTATTCGATTTCTCTTTGAGCTCGAGTTTGTTTAACTGTTTCCTTTTCCTTTGTAACTCTTTATCAATACACAATAATTCTTCTTGTTTATGTTTCAATTCATCTTCAATGTTACTTATTCTGTTAAGATTATCTTTTCGTATGTAAATTTGATTACTACAGCAATCGTTGCAAGGGCAGAATCTTTTCCTAGCATGTTTCATTATAAAAAATAATTACAAAAAACTTAGCATATTTAAATACTCTTGGATAGGCGACATCTTTCATGATATCCAGGATTCAGGTTAAACATTTAAGTTCAGAAAATATTCAGTAATCTTTTGAACACATATTTGCACAATATTTTTTTGTATTTTTTTAAAATTTGCTTTTATTTATTACATTTTTTTGAAATTATGAATTACACTTTGTTTAAAGAATTGACAGCTGGACTGATCTGTGATTTACATTGATATCCATGCTCTATATTGTAGACTTTCACTAAGATAATAACAAAGAATAGAAGAAAATAATCTGTTGAAAACTGTCCATTGATAGATTTTTTATAGACTGTGCCTTTATGCGCTACAAAATACACACATGTTTCTATTTAATCTTCTAAACAACCTTGTTTAGATGCATTATAATTTATAATGCAATTAACGCCGGGATTTAGTTCAGATCTGGAAATACTTGTGTGCAAGAGGAGGTGATGTAAATCCGAAACAATTTTGTTTTTGTCTGGGATTTAAAACCAGCACTAAATATGCGTTAAATTAAACCACAGAGGTTTTTTTTAAGCTATTAAATATAATTTCGTCATTCATAAAGCAATTTTAGGATCATTAGACTATTAATTACTAATGAATTAATTATTAAATCGCTTCCAACTTACTAATAACATTAAGAATATACTTACTATTAAAAAAATATATTCGAATTAAAGGTTGCGCGTTCCCATATTTCCATATCTTGTATGAAATGTTATTTAATTTAAATTGGAAGCTTTATAAAATATATATTATATAGATAAAATGTATATTAGTGACAATACAATTTCTGAACACAACATATTTTTTTGAAATATATCTGTTGATTTTTCTAATGCTAAGTTATCAAATCTGAATATATATTTAATTCCTTTATGTAATACGAAATACATATAATAATATAGAAGCGTGTTACAAAAAATACCTGTAAATAAAAATATCTAGAGCGAATCGATAAATTTTATGTATGTTTGGTATTATTGACTGGTGCACTATCTGGATAAATCGAGCTACTGAGGTCATCGGAATCCCTCCCTCGAAAGTTCAAACAGCCGGTCGCAGAATGCTGTAAGACACCGGCGCGTGCGCACGTGACGCGACCGCGAGTGACTAAAGTGATTGTACAGTGTTTTCCTGTGGATTTGCAATTAATAGGTAATTATTTGAAATTAAAGTTTTATATCAAATATTAGTAACACATCGCAATTAATTTAACTTCAGATGTAGTGATCGGGAATTAAATCAAAATGTTAATGGATTGCTGAAAGCTATCCTTGCGATTCCTTTGTGTTTATTCTTAGAATGACTAAAGTTCGAATCCCGCGAAAGAGTTATTTGTTAGAGACGTTAATAAATAAGAGGCGACGGTAAGAGCTTTTAGGTTGAATATTATATTGAACACTTAACCCAAATGCTAATAAACTCGATCATAATGCAAAGATAGTCATTATTAAATAAATAAACCGATAAATAAATATTAATCTTATGAATAAATAGTTTGTGGCTTAATATTACCTTACAAATATTCTTTTTATCAATTAACACAAAAAAACAATACATGCGCGTAATGCTGGGAAAATGAATAAGTTTTGTAACAGATTTCCCATTCATTTTCCTTCATAAATAAATTCACATTGGTAATTTTGTTGCATAGTTTAGATTTTCCCGTTTTCCTATCTCATAATACTTTCTCAGTATTTTCCGTTTAATTTACAGCTTCATAAAAGCTTTTACAACCGCAACTTATTTTTGTGCCTACTATGTCATAGTCAAGGAAGTTTGTGTGTTAACAATAAATATTTTTATATTTTCCAGATTGTCCAATGGCGACACCGCAGTTCGCTTGTTTGTTCGTCATGTTCACATTAGGTAAGTTTACCTAAGATAGCAACGTTTATCAGCGTTAATTGGTATTTTGTTGAAATCGTGTTTGTTAATATTATAAACAAATATCTACATTATAACTGAAACATACATTCAAAGTCTTAGAGTGTACTTGAAGTTATTTCGAGCTTATCCATAATATTTTTAACATAAAAAATAACTACATTTTCATGTATGTGTGTCCGTTTTTGATGTCCTTTTCATTGTCTTCATATGTTTAAATTGCTTTGTTTTTTTCCGTAATTTATGTCTAAGTACAGTATAACAGTACATATTATGTAGTTATCCATCTATTGCGCTCATATTATTTAATTTTAAAAAAATCTTACAGTGGTTGCCTGGAAGAGATCGCTGGAAAGCGATAAGGCAACCAGTTGCCCTTGTATTGTATTTCTTGCAAGGAAATGTAAATAAATAAGTGTAGTCGATCTCTCTATATATCACAAGTGGTAGTGTTATATACCATATTACTGTATTATAATTTTGAAAAACATCTTAAATTGATTCGTTATAAACCAGTCATTCTTGTTATTTCCCGAATGTAGGAAAATCTGAACATACGGAAAACGCATATTTTAACAAAAAAAATAATGATTCACATAAGGTAGTTAGGCACTTGGGTTATTATGAAGTGGTTCACAGAAATCGGGTTGTCATTAAAATGTAATTAAATCACGATGATCGTGATGAATGATAAGTGCGGTAAGTTCTTTGTGAATCAATGACGCAAATATATAACACTATGTGAATACAAATCTATGAAAACTGGAAAATAAAACATAAACTGATATAAACGCGGTTAAATTAGTTTTTTTAGCAGTGTTGGCCTAGTGGCTTCAACGTGCGACTCTCATCTGAGGTCGTAGGTTCGATCCCCGGCTGTGCACCAATGGACTTTCTTTCTATGTGCGCATTTAACATTCGCTCGAACGGTGAAGGAAAACATAGCGAGGAAACCGGCTTGCCCTAGATCCAAAAAGTCACCTACTTGCCTATTAGATTAACAAATGATCAAGAAACAGATACAGAAATCTGAGGCCCAGACCTAAAAAGGTCGTAGAGCCACTGATTAATTTTTTTTTAAATTTGGTTTTTGTTTTGCTAATAGATGGCGTTAATATGGCAAAGTTTTAATTGATAATATCAATATCAATCTCAATCAATCAATCATATCAATATTTATCAGTCATAGAAGTTTTGTTTGAATTTGTTGTTCTTGCAAACTTCCGTATACCAACTTAAAATTGTATATTTTTACGACCTTTTGTCGAGTAGGCAATATTTCCTTATACCTAGTTATATTAATTGACCGTTATGAATATACCACAACACTTATTAAATCATTTTTCTAAATTAGAAGTTTTTAAGTTAATAGAACTTAGTCGCTTTAGATTTATTATGTAGCTTTAACATACTGCCTTCAAACCCCTGACCACACAGTCACGCACTAAACTTTGGGGCAATTTTTCACTCAAAGTTTTAATAGAAAAAACCTAAAGTCACGATCCATAAATAGCTCTTTACAGATTACATAACACCATAAATTCGTATTTATGTCTGTCGTATTTGTATTAGCATAATGATTCACTGTCAGTGAATGAATATTATACTCATTTAGCGCTTACCCGAGCGTGACCTTTCGGGGTTTTGTAAACGTGACTAAGACAGAGATAGAGATTTACAATGTACAGGTACATGTAAATAAATAGCCTCAGTAAAATTGCATAATGTGGTTGATACTGATCGCTTGGAGGCTCACTTACCGGGTTCTACTAAACTACGAATCATCATTCTCACCGCCTTTAATACTTTAGAATCCACGAAGCCCAATTAACAAGAAAAAATCAAACTGAAAGTTTAGACGTTTTAAATAATAAAATATCTTTTAACAGATTCTTCATAAAAATAAATAACTTATTTTTCTGACCTCAAGTTTGACGCAATGATTGCTAACCATCAAATCTTAGTTTTAGTCCTTTAAAAACTGGAACATTTATCTAATTAACAAACATGTTAACCTCAATATATTCGAGTTTTTACTAAGACAACTTTGTTGTCTATTTAAACGTTATAATAAAATTCAATCAACCAATTAAATTTCCAATCAAATTTAAATTTATGTTAAAATGAATCTATCTAACTTTAGGTTCAAAACTTTGTGGTAGTTAGAATAATAATATACACAGAATACGGAGATATTTAAACAGAATCATCTGACACCAAGGCTCTCTTTAATAAGTTATTCGTGACCGGCAAGTCTTCGAGGCTTTCGATCTTTTACAACTTATGTTAACAACATAATAAGTATTGCATTATTTCCATGAGTATTATTCCATATATGAATAATACGCATAAGTTGAATTGGTACAAACTCCAGAAACCCAGCAAAAACACATTTATTGCTTTCTGTATCTTGTAACCAAATAATAATAGTTTCTCTGGGACTCTTACGAAATCAATTAGCCATGTGCAGGTTGAACAAGTACTTAGCTTAGTTGACCAAAGGCAAGGTCTAACGAATGTGTTTAATCTAGCATGAAACCTGCCTTCTAGAAAGAGAGGCGGCACGAATGTCGACACTATGTAGTCATTTTCATACATTTTACTTTTAGTCAGTGTAACTTTATTTTGCTTTCCCACGCGAAATCTTTTACGTGATAACAAAAAAATATAAATCACAATCAATTATATATTACTATTGCTTATGTCACTTAAGGATAAGGTTTCCAGTGAGAGCATTAAAATTGGTTTAATAGTTAAAATAGTAAAAGGCAAAAAGATAATAAAATAGCGCGGCAGACTTTTTGCAAATATGTCGAAATCGTGGAATGGATACACAGGTCACACCTGACGCAAAGAATTTGCGTCTAGCAATATGGTATTGAATAAGATTCAGAGTAGAATTAGCGCTAACTACAACTCTTTTGTGTCAAAGACGTACTGGAATTTTACTTCAGAGAGTCATATTTGTCCCGACTCTGTATTAATGTACTTGACCAGTATCAGGGTAAGCCTGCTAGTCTTTAAAGATGTATAAAAAGATTCCTTAAACATAACATCAGCGTAATTTT